AGCTGTTGGATGGCTGCCAGTGGCTATGGGCGCCCTATTCTTCGTCTGATGTCTGTGTTTTATCATTTCTTCCATTGGGTGCCAGCAGCTGAGTGTGGGTTATCCTTTCTGTTCCCCAGGGTTCTCTATTCTTACAGCAGAGGACGAAGTCACTCACAAAGGTGATTCTTCTTGATCCACTGAAGACTCACTGAGTTAACTGAAGATCACGAACACGTTTCTTTTTCAGGGAGTGATCAACTCTGGAGGTCAAAGAATAATGTGTTTATGTGGTTACTCACCATATCAAGGAAAGTTAATTTTTTCTTGCCGGAGATATTTTTCAGAAACAATCAACTGAGAAGACACATCTTGCATTGTGGCTGTTGCCTCCTGTACCCGTGTGACTCTGCTGTGTGCGTCATTCTGCATTGTTTACCCAGAACCCACAGCTTTATGCTGTCCTTCAAATAATAATGTACTTCGTTACCCCTGGTAGAAGCTTACTAGTCACAGATTGAATTATTTAGGGGATTTGAAAAAAGCCAATTTAGACACATTTTAATTCACAAACTTAGGATCAAGGCTTATGATTATCCTGAAGCTTATGATATCTTAAGGTTGTGGCAGTGTACAGACTTGTGCAATGTCGTTTTGACAGGTGAAGACTGAAAATGAAAGCATATCTACAACCACATTTTTTCAGTGTGATAAGTTCCTAGGGCATTCAGGGATTATTATTTTTAAAATGTGCTTGCTGCCTGCCACTCCGCTACCAAAAATAAGCTAGTCTGAGAAGGCTAAGTGTTAGAGGACATCCCTGGGAACTATGTCACCTGGGACCACTTGTGACGGCATTCTTGACTTCTTTGTCATTACGTTCTCTGTTTCCCAAACAAACCAATTTCTGTCAAAAGAGTTGGGGCATTTTTTTTTTTTTAACCAAATATACTTTGTAAATTAATTTAAGCTGATAGTTTATCTCGACCATTTCAGAACATCTAACTATTAACGGGGAGTCAGTGCCATCAAACACATGTACTGTGTTAGGAGGCAGGAGAGAGGATTGGAGGGGAAAAAATCATTATGTCTGAGCCAGGAAATCTGGAGTCAGGGAGCTCAAATGTTCTTTGTTAATAGTTCTATGACCTTGAACAAGTTAGTTTGCCTATCTGGGTCCTCAGCTGTGAAATGCAGCCAAAATGACTGTCCAGTGCGAGTCTGTTGTGCCCAAGACGTTCAAGTGTTACACTGGTGGAAATCACCACTGATTTGGATACACGCCTTGCAGCACACAAACCCGATGCTTTACGATTTTACACCGTATGAATGTGGAAGCTAGTGCATGTGCTCGGGTTTCGTCGGGTTCCCTGCAGGTAGTTTGTTTTCAGAAAAGAACTGAGGGGACTGTTGCCCTACTGGAAGATGAGTCCCAGAGAGGTTTTGCCGAGTGGAGCTGCAGAGGAGAAACTGGCTTTGGAGCGTGGAGCGCATAAAACTGAGACCTGAGGATGCCGCCACTTTATGGCAGGAGAGGTCTCCCCGAGTCCTTCCACAAGGATAATAAAAGCGACCACCCACCACAGAACGTGGCACTGGGAGGAACCCCTCCAGTTAACGACCCAAGATATTTACAAATAAATCCGGATACTCACTGCAGGAGGGGGGGAGGTGAGCGGGACAGAGCCGGGACATAGGTCCCAGAGACGCCCGTTTTTAGGACTCCGGTGGCTCAGTGAACGTGCCCTTGAAGAACAGGGCTGCGAGGGGTGCGAGGGCTGGGCGCAGCCACCGCGAAGAGGCGGTTACGGCCCCCGGGTCCTGGCGCCCTTTCCCGCGCCCCTGCTCTGCGGGCTCGGGCGCCGCCCGCGCACCAGCCTCGCGCGCCTCCGCGCCCA